GATGTTAACGACATTATGGTGAGCATTTTGCAATATATACACATATCGAATTATGTTGTACACCTGAAACTAATATAATGTTATATATCAATTCTATCTCAATAGGAATAAAACAAACAAAAAAGAAACTGTCAGCATTGGGTTATTTTGTAAATAATCCCATATGAGCTAAATTGATGGTGTGAAAGATCACAAAGATATGCAGTTTGAATAGGAAAAAATATAATAAAGAGAAAATTTGTTCTCTAATATGTTAATGGTATCACAAAGCTAGGAAAATTCAAGTAATATTCATAGGTAAAAATGAAATTGAAAGGAACCGAACAAATAGATAGCAATAAAAGACATTCTAAAATGGTGAACATTTTATTATATACTAAAAGAACCACTATGCAGAAGCAAAAAATGAAAATGATTTAATTAAGGGTAGAGAAAATTGGCTCTTTTAGTAAAAAGTAGAGGTAGGAGGAATACCTTGGCTTTCTATCATGCATCAATATAAAAGGTAGATTTAAACATTAAATGTTGAAAGTAATTAAACCATGTTAAAGCAAATATAGCTAAAGAGTCATTTAATTTCTTAATGGAAAAATTTTTCCATTAAAAGAAAGGAAAAGATTGATAGTATTTTCATAAGAATTGAAAATAGGAACCTAAATAACAAGTTATGTTATAAATGAGACAAAAAAATAATTATGAAGACAGGCTTCCCATACTTAATCTTAAAATTTTTAAAGTTCAAATACATTAATAAATCAAACTGATACATCAGTAAAAATTGGCAGAGGACATGGAGAGAAGACAAAAAACAATTGCCCTCTAAACCACATGGGAAAAAGAAGTTTCATTTCATAAAATTAAGAAATTTTAAAATATGGTAATAGTTAATATTAGCAAAAACCAAACGAGATAGTTATTTGAATTTCCCAGGAATGTAATTTGGCATATCCTTTCCAAACATCAATTTTATAATAAGAAGAGTTTTAAAAACGTTCCCATTCTCATTTAATGATTCCACTTTAAGAAACATTCTAATGAGATAATTAGGCAACCATGTACAAAGAATAATGTATGAGAATTTCAATAGTAAAAATTTAAAATATAGCAAAAAATAAAAAATAACCAAATATCTAACAACAGAGAAAGGGTTCAATAATGTTAAGTCCATTTAAATAAAAATTATACAACCATTAAGATGTTTTTGAAGAACTGTAATGGCAATGGAAATGCTCACAACATTACTTTCATTGCTAAAGAACTATATAATTAATAAATTTTGCAGTATGATATAAACTATATTAAAAATGTTAGGGAAGAAAATATACCAGAATATTAACAATGGTTATATTATGGATTGATTGTAATTTTAACTTTGGTCTTTGCTCTTTTATCACTTTTCCAAATTTTCTATAATAAATATGTAACTGAAGTTAAAAGGTTATTTTATAAATATGTTCCTAGATATTTCCTTGATCACATGAACATCTTGAAACATTCCCCAAACTAAGGAATGATTCACAGAACCTGACTGCATCGTCACAAAACGGTCCAGGTGAGTTGTGCCTCCACAATGGTTCCTTCCCCTCTGGGACTCACCTGATGACGTGGGCTGCCGTCACCCGCTTGTTGGGTCTGAGATGGCCTTGGACGTATTTGTTTGGGGGCTTTCATGGCTGCTGTTTCCACTGGACCAATTGGATTTCTATACATTGGTACTTTAGAGCTATTGTATTGGATGGAGAGCCTGTTATAAAGGAGAGTTTATGAGAGGTTGTAATAATTTTTAGCTATCGGGTATGACGTTGAGGAGAGTCTTAGAAAATGTTAAACCATGTATGAAATGTAGTATCTAAACAATAACAATAAAATAGCCCAACTTTTTTTCCCTGTGCTCTTTTCCAGCTACTCAGTTGATAGTCAATTAGGTAATCATAGGAACGGAAATTCCACGCGCCCCACTTCTTGACAATCTAGAAATAAGAATGCAAAGAAATTCAGGGATGACTACAGGAAATCCCCAGGTCATCTTGTCCAGGTCAGATACTGGGGGTTCTAAGAACAGCTGTGTGCTTATTATGTCATATCGGAAAGAACTTAGAATAGAGCGGACTAGTTTAAGGTCAGGCGTGTTCCATTTTCTATAATTCCACTTAGTCTCATTCCTTTACTCAAAAACTATTTAAAGCCTCTTACCATCTTGAGTTATTGCAGATTAAAAAAAGATTTTTAAAGAAAACAGAGAACTCCTTGTTCACAGAGACTTCACATCTAATAGACAAATATACAATAATTTTTGACATAATGGGGTTCTTTTTATAGGATGTGAAGAGTTAGGAAAAGAAGCAATTATTCTATAGTAGATTTTATTATTTGTTTAAGGGGTGGGCATTTTGGGGTAGAAAAGCAGGGTAACCTGTAACTTCTTTGTCATACATCTTGTGAGTGACAGACTCCATTCTTACCCATCTGAGATCATTTTTAATACCTTGGGGGTGCTCAACACCACTTTCTGTACTCACACAAATATTTACAAACATCAAAATGCACACTGAATTTGTTTTGGAAACCAAAAAATGGCATTATTCCATACACATTGTTCTGCCACTTTTTTATTGCATTTTTTTCTCTTAATGTATGGTGGTGAATGCCCTTTAGTATAATAAATAGGTGCTAAAATTTGTTCTTAAGTAGATTCATCATGTTCTGTGGTATGTCTGTATCACATATGTTCCACCATTTTTCAACCAGTGAACCAGGAGGTTGTTTCTGATTTATTACCCTGCCTTCTAATGCTACAATAGTTATCTTTATTTACTATGTTGAGTTGCTTTTATTCCTATAAGACAGAGTTCCAAAAGTGGACCAAGGGCCAAATCTTGTGTACACTTTTATCCTGAGTAGATACCACTCTTCTAAAGTCAATCCCTCCACATGTGCACTAGATTTTATCCCTCTGGACTGCTGAGCAGCATTGCTCCAAAAATTCTCCCCTCTTGCACCAGATCATCAAGTTTTCTCTCTACAAAATAATTCCCTGAGTATACTAACATGCTGTATTTTTTCCATTATAACAAAACAATCTCTTGAGTCACTCTACCACCTAAGACTATCGCTTTGCTCCCCGTACAGAAAAAAGTTCTGAAAAAAAATTACGTAGTATCTTCAATCCCTTATCTCCCATTTTCTCTTAAACTGCTTCTAGTCTGATTTTTCCTACTACCACCATCCTACAATGCTCTTTTTGAGGCCATCAATGATTTCCTTCCTTCTAAATCCAAAGGTCAATTCTCACTTGACCCAGGGGCAGCATTTGGCACAGTAGACCCCGCTCCTTGGAAGACTTTCCTTGCTGGCCTTTCAGGATACCTCCCTTTCTTGGTTTCCTCCTACCTCACTCATCACTTTCTCAGTATCCCTTGCTGGGTTTTCTTCTCACCAACTTTGTAATGTGAAATATCACAGGGCTCAGTCCTTGTTTAAATTTGTTACCGATTTTCCTCTAAGTCTTACTCTTTTACCTGGCTCTCCGTTTTTGCTTTTACTTTCAATGTACTATATCATTCACGTATGTGACTATTTTTATTGTCTGGATCCCCCACTAGAGCGAAAGCTCCACGCAGGCAGAGATCTTTGTCTCTTTTGTTCACTGCTATATCCCACGTGCCTAGAACAGTGTTCACAAAATATTTATTGAATAAATAAATGATTATTTTCCAGATTATTTCCTGAAGAGTCTGTGGCCATTTATACTTCTACTAAATTTCAAGGGCACCTATTTTCTTTCATATTCATCAGCACTGGGTGTGGTGATTCCTTAATGTTTGCCATTCTGCTAGATAAAATAATGATCGCTCATTGTTCACTTTTTTCTAACTGCTAGTGAGGTTGAGCATATTTTGGTGTGTTTAATGTCTATTAGGAATTCATTTAAAGAGCTATAAATATATATTTAAATTATACCAAAATTTAAAGTGACAAAATAACCACAGAAATAGGGCTTGGGATTGAGATAGAAATATACTGGTGGATGTCTGAGAAAGATTAGAGAATTATGAAACCAAAAGTTTAATGATCATAAGCTGTAGGAAACACTATGTCTTCCTCTTGCCTTCTGAAATTTTAAATTATGAAGAAGGGGGCTACTTCAAAAATTGAGGTCATGAAGGCATAGGAAAATTCGTCTTTGGGTTGGTGACTGTATGTAATGGGCGATGGCGTACACTGGTGGCGGTGCCATGTGCTTCAGGATGACCCCCTGGAGCACTATTTGGCATTCTGATTTTTGAGGATTAACAAAATTCACAACTGTTGACCCAAGATTTTACTTGAGTAAATTTATCTTAATAAAATGTTAAAAGTATGGGAAGATACACATATAGGGATGTTGATAACAGAATTTAGGGGGACAAAATTTGAAAATAACTAAAATTTTCAATGACATAAGGGATTGCATGTGATTTATGGCACTTCTGTATGAGGATGAGAGTGAGGCCATTAAAAGTGACATTTTAGAAACTAATGACATGGGAAATGTTCTTCATTTAATGTAGGTGAAAAGAAGAATGAAACATTATATCTATAGCATAATTCCTGTTTTGGAACACCAAAATGTGAAAAGCATTCATCTGCGAATGATGGAATACTGAGTGTCTCCCCCCCGCCCTTTTTTTTAAATGAAGTATTAATTCTGAATTAAGCTCTCAAAGGCAAACTAACAAAAAAAGTAGGTCTATAAAACAAAGCTATTCAAATACTCTAATATTAAAACTCTTTCATGTCAGATGCCTTTAGTTGGAATAACTCTAAATAATTAGATGGGCCACTTGAAGGTATTTTTGCCTTTTGTTCTACTTTAAAATGAAAGATCATTCTGGAAGGGAAAAGCACCTTACCCCCTCCCCTTCCTCCCGCTTTCCTTAGGGTCATCAGTCGGCATTATGAAAGCTGCTGCTCTGGCCCTGGGCTGCCACTCCCCAGGACCGTCCCTCACGGACACTCACCTGGCCTGTGTGTGGTCAGTCATGCCCTTTGGATCCACCTGCTCCAGCAGCCACTGCCCTCTCGTAGCTTCTTTCCTCCGGCTGCGCCCTTGGACAAGGTTGTTTCTGAGGGTCCTGAGGAGGACTTTTGTGTACTCCCTTGAGGACATCTGCTGGAATGGCCAACATTACAAAGGGTGTCAGATCAGACTCAACATAGTCATCTTCCCTTGTCTGAGCAGACTGGCTGCCATGAAAGTTTCAGGGATTTTTTTCACTGATGTTTATGTCCTCAGAAAAATCATTTTCCTTTCTTACTACCTGAATTTCCTTACGTTCTCTGTGTCTATGTGTACATGTAGCATATGTTTCCAAATTCAACACTCCCCAACTTCCACAATAACTCTCCTTCCTTAGAGCAGCTCAGTAACGTGGCGTTTTAAAGCTAGGAGGGGGTGAGAGAGGACTCCGCCCACGGTTGCTTTTTGGGTTGGGGATTTCTTTGAGAACTGGGTGACCACCCGTGGGTTTAGCTCCAGAAAAATGCTCATACATTTAATTCTGTATAAAATTTCAGTGAATGCACAGACCACCTAAAGTCCACCTGTCATCTCCACATGAAGCACCGCTGCCAAAAAAAAAAGCAAAGAAGGAATGCAACGAATAGTTCGAATTGTTTGATTTTTTCAGCCCTTGAAATCTTACGTGTAATAACAAAGTGACCACATGGAGTCAGTCTAACACTGATAAGCCCTGCTTCTCCCAGGCTTTTAGAAACGGGAAGATCTCAGGCCAGTGAAGCCCGGGATTTGGGTTAAAAAGTTTAGAAAAGTGATGTCCATTGGGAATTACTGGGCAAGACCCAGGCACTTGACTTTTGTGGACCATTCTTGCTAAAGGGGAGAGCGAGAGACAACTGTCCTCTGAAAAGCCGGCCAATCAAGATGCTTCATTCACTATTGTGGTCTCTGAGGGTGACGTCATCTGTCAGGAGAAACTGATTCACAGCAACTGCTTGATGAGAAGGGAGTGTTCTTTCTGAGAAAAATTTAAATGCTCTTTGTTTAAAATTTACTATCCCATTTCTCTCTCTTCTTAGGAAGATCTGAATTTTTCTGCTGAATATTTAAAATTTTCTTTAAAAATCTTACTTTCATTATCTTCCATTCAAAACTGAGTTAGTTATCTTTCTCTCTCCTTTTTCTTAAAGAAAAAAATTCTTGACATTTAGGGCTCAGGAAAAGACATGTTAAAAAGGAAAACTCCCCAACTCTACTAGCAACTAGAAGCCTTGTTGATCATCTTGACTAAGCCAGAGCCTTCTCCTTTTAATCCATACCCACTCCCAACACCTCACCCCTCTTACTCCTCAGACGTTCTCTTGCACACAGTCTGGGATCGATGGCTTCAAACTGGACTCTCCCTGGCCTTTTCTTGTCCCCAAAAGGTTTTTTTTAAAATTTACAGTGTAAAGAAAACATATTTATTTTGAGAGATACTCAAGGTTCACTTTGACACTTCGTTAGTCTTAAATATTTCTGATGTATGAAAGGAGCAGACTCTAGGGTTTTATTGAAGGGAAAGTTTTTAAACTGCTGTAGTTTGTGCTGATACGATTCGTGAGGAGTTTGGTACAACAGGGTAGATGTTACCTGGACACAGTGCTCAACCACAGGATGAAACTTCTGGTGGGACTTGTTGTGAAGACCAGATAAGAAACACACCTGGCAGATGTCAAAGTTGAGGCACTTCAGACAGCGGTATCTGCCAATTAAAATGGAAGCGTGGCTGACATCACTACTGGTGGGCGAACGAAGGAAATAATAGGTGGAAAATGAGCAGAGACATGCAGGAGATGTCTGAGCTGTCCAGTGAGTATAAAGTTTCTCCCAGATTTTGTGGGGATGGATGGTAATTGACTCTGATATATTTATTTAATCAAATAAATATTTTGATAGTATTTTTATAATATGGCATTATATTCATATAGTTTTAGCCAAGGAACTATAGCCTAGAAGTCTCATTCACCCCCCAGCCCCGCCCAAATACTTCCATATGCAGGGGAATGTGTGCTGCTCCCCTTAGGACAGACCCTTACGGCTACGGCCTCATTTTGCGTAGCTGCGCAATGCGTGCAAATATTTTGGCGAATTTCATTGCCCACTTAAAAAAAACGGGGAGACTTTAATAAAGTTTAAATTCTGCCTTCTCTTAAAAATTTTCAAGATTAAGGTGGAGGAAATCCGGGAGAGAAATTAGAGAAGTAAGGTAACAGGGCTGGAGTGAAGAAGAGTCTGGAGCAGGTCAAATGTGTCAGGCCTGCTGATTGCTCTGAAGAGCAGAGGAATGAAGACTGGGAGCGCCCCTGGGCCCAGATGGGGGAAAGGTCTTGAAAGCCTGGCCAAAGTCATTCCAAGGTGGAGCAGGAGAACGTAAGTACCATGAGACCAACCCTCACTGCCCTTGTTCACTGCTGTACCCGACCCCTAGTCCCGTGGTGAGATACTAATAAACAGTGTTGAGTGGCTGTAATAGTAGCTAACATTTTTGAGCGCTTACCATGCAGCAGGCAGTGTACATGTGTTGACACAGTCCCCATGGAAGTTCTTTCAGGTCAGGTATTATTCTCGTTTTACAGATGAGGAAACTGATTCCGAGAGAGCTCAAGCAGTTGCAGTTACTCAACTACTTGGCAAGTTGTAGGAGTGAGCTCTGAGCCCAGGGACACCATCTGACTGGAGAGCAGCTATTTTAACCACTCTAATAGACCACCAAGGCAGGAGGCCTGAGTTTGAATTCACAGACCTCCAGTTCTCGTGGCCTTGAAGTGGAAATGTTAGCTCCTGTTTTGGAGGATACCTGGTCCATGGGCGTTTTCAATCAACATTAGCCGAATGAAATTAAATGAGTGACAGTTTCTTCCCCAGGAGGATGGGACTAGTAAACCCCACCCTATCAGCCTTGCAGAGCTTTTACAAAGCTTTGAAAATTATTCAACATGCATTATTGGGAAGACTTTCACTTTCTACATGAAATGTGGAACATAATAAAGTATTTTAATAAGGATTATTTGATAAGTCACTTGTACGGGCTGGCTGCTTTATCCAGTATTACATACGGTTGTAGTTAACTCGTCGAGGACAGTATGTTGACCCTAACGTTGCATTAGTGCCTCGAGGCTCTGAAACTATCTGCAGGCTTATGAGAAAGGGTGTAGTGTGCACTGTGAGGCTGGTCCATTGTTGATGCCTTTACCAAAGGAGAACCAACTTTTCCCCCCAATCTCATCTCAACCTTAAATGGCTATTACAGACCATAAAGGTGACATGTCCTACTAAAATTTAACAGTTGGCTTAGGAGCAATTTTAGTCTTTGTACTTTCTCTTAAGGCCAAGTCTTTGCCCTCTTCCTGCTACCTCCCGATCTGAAGACACTTCTCTAAAATGGCTTTATTAAGCTTACTAAAACGAAAAGCCTTGAGGCTATTGCTAGAGTTTATGAGAGCCAAAAACCACAGGATTAAGGTCAGGATTGTAATACGTTCCAGCAGTTTCTAATAGAGTCAGAAGGTGATAGCTGAAAGAGGCTTATGACATCATTTGACCCACCCCTCCTTGCTTTACTTACAAAGAAACTGAGGCCCAGAGAGCTTATAGGCCTTGACCAGATCACCCAGCTCTCTCATACATGGCCTTGGATGTCTAGGAGGGAAGATGGTTCACATGGAGGCACTCCTAAGAGGAAGATTAACCTCCTTGTGAACAGATAGAGACATAATCTAAAACTTAAAGTGTGGCCCTGCTTGCCTTCTGCCGCTGCTATTTTTTGAGTGACCTGAGCAAGTCATTCAAACTCTTCAAAACTTTTTTATAAAATAGGAATAATAATAATACCTGCTATGTTACACATAATGATTTTGAAAAAAGTTATTTCAATATCAAAGTTGTGCTTTATATAATTACAAAGTAAATTCTGGCCCAGTGGGGGACATGTACTAACTGCTTAATTCATACTTGTTTATTGGCTAAATGATTATAATATACATATAACATGGTCAATAATATTCATGTTCCACCACTGTCCAATATAAAAAGAGCTTATTTTTCATTGTGGTATGGAGATTTCTTTGGCTTGGTTTGCTTGGTTTTCAACAGTCTCGTTCATTTATATGTTTTATTGTTTAAAGTTCAGTTATTTGCAGAGTTTTTCATGAGTGAAGTTTCACTGTGTCCTCAGAATTCTTTTCAAACCCAATTTATTTTCTCAGCAAAATTAAAACCTGATTTCCAGTTTTTTTAGCGAGCCCAGTAGACTTGCTTTATATCTGTGGGAAGCATGTCTGGGGCTGGTTAAAACCTGGAAGCACAGGAGAAGAGAAACAGAGTGAGCAGGTTCCACTGAACCCTCCCTTCTCCTGCCTCTCTGGGTACCCACTCCTTTGACTTGTTTTTAGCTATTAGGGGTCCAGATAGAGTCTCCCTGCAATGTGCCAACTGGGCATCCAGGTTCTTTTGAGATGAAAACAATGAAAACTCCAGAAGAGGGTTTGTTGTGCGTTTTGCTCCCCTTTATCTGACTAAAGGAACCTTAGCATAGCCACCTTAGCATATATGAATTAAGTGTGGCACACAGGGAGGATCTAAGCAAATCTGTTGTTAGATTCCCCTGTGTGGCCCATTGTTTCTGGGTGGCCAAGCATTTGTTTTCCACATGTTTGCCCTTTCTCATCTGCCTGTGAATTGCCCACTTTCCCCTGGAGATCTCAGGCCCCTGCCTCCCTCTCCTTGGTCCAGAATGGCCTATAAGCCTCAGCTGCCCAATGTATCTTTGGGTCTCATATTCTTATGGAATCCCCATAATTACATATGCAATAAATGTGGTCATTTTTTTCCTGTTACTCTGTCTCATGTTAATTTGATTATTAGTCCAGCCAGTAGAGTTTAGAAGAGTAAGAAGAAAAATTATTTCTCTGCTCCCATAGCTACCTGGTTGCTCCAGCTTTCAGTCCTTCCACATCTCTAGCCCCTACACCTGTGTTCACTCACTCATCATGATAATTGTGTCCCCCTGTGCCTGGCCTAGACCTGTTGGTTTCTTTCTCTCCTCCCCAAGTCTTTAATAATAACTCTAATTTCACTTCCTTATTGTTTTATTTATGGGAGACCTATAACATCCTTTCCCTAAGATGGAATTTTGGCTGTCAGTCTCAAAGATCTGACTCTCCTACCTCCAAACCTAGCTTTCAAATATGCCCTTTCCTAGAGGCAGAGAGATCTGGAGACCAAGGAGTATTCTCAGTTGCCAGCACAGGGAGGCAGCATAGCATCATGATTGCAAAGCACGGATTCTGGATTCTGGATTCAGACTGCCAGCCTCCGCCACTTGCTAACCCTGTGAACCTAAGCAACTTATTTAGCTTCTCTGCAAACCAGGGATAATAATAGCACCTTTTACAGAAGTATAACAGGTTGTAAATGAAATAATCCATATGAACCACACAACATAACAGTTATTTAACACTTAATAAAGGCAAACTATTATTATTGTTTATATTATGGACTGCTCCAACATATTTAAAATGTTTTTTTTGTTTGTTTTTTTTTGGTAACAAAATACAAAAATGTTTTCCTTTAGAGCATGGGTGGGGAACCTTTCCTGCCAAGGGCCATTTGGATATTTACAACATCATTCACTGGCCATACAAAATTATCAACTTAAAAATTAGCTATGAGAAAAACTCCTAGATTTATTGAATTTCGAGTCCCATCTGCAGTTGCCTTGGCAGGGCAGACCAAATGAATGTCGGTGGGCCAGACGTTCCCCACCCCTGCTTTAGAAGAATAAAAATGTCTGCTGGTCAGAGTATATGTCAATGGAAGAATTTAATATTCCATTAATTATAGAAGATAAAATACATACCATCAACCAGGATCCCTCATGCTGGAAATCATTGAACCCCCCCAAATCATTGGGGTTTCAGATACATGAGGAGGACTGCAAAAAGAATCTGAAGAGACCCGGCTACAACTCTAGGCCCATTTGGAGAATGACTGTCGTGTGATACTGATGAATGACTGTACCTCAGTCCCGTGAGTGGGAAGTTCCTGCATATTCTACACCGAACAGGGTGGGTTACCATTTCAGTGGCTGACAATCGGTAGCAGGTCGGGAGCCACAGGAGGATGGGAGGCTCCGACTGTAACCAAGAGAGGAATTTCTCTTCTTTGATTGCTGGGCTCAACACCTGAAAAACAACGGCACACTTTGATGTGTTTCTAGGAAGGACTTTGGACTCTACAGAAAAAAATACATTTTCCTCTTCTTTTCTAGCTCTGTTTCTGTGAGCTCTGCTGAAAAAGCCCGTTGCATGAAAAGTCAAAGGCAAGTCTATCTCCTCAGGTTGTCTGGGGTGCTGTGTGGAGTAATAGTTCTGCTTTTTAAATCAGTCAGCAAGTACCCCCAACTCCCTGGGACGTCTGCATGGCACTCACCCCTTGGAAGCAGCTGCGTGTAGCACTTTCCACAGAACACAGAGCACGACTCTCACCAACGACACTTGGGATCTACAAGAGGTAAGAACCTGTTAGAAAATGGAGAAAGCTGTGGGCACTGACATCAGTATGCCTGACCGGTGGTGCTCACGGCCATGGAATCACAAAAATTGGGTGTCTGAGATTGGAGAACTGTCTCAGTCCAAGCAAACAAGAAACATATGGGGTTTGTGCAATGTGTGAGTAGAACCAATAGGTGTACAAGTGGGAAGAAGTGGGCTGGGAGGAGGAAGGGGGGGTGAGAAAAAGTCTGGCAATTGAGGCAATACAGGGGCGGGACAGTTTCCATTGTTTCTTATGATCCCAGTCAAATTATTTTAGCCCTTTTTTGCCCTTGTTTACCTATGAATTATATATAACAATATTGTATTAAAGTTCAGAGTCGTTTTAAGACTAACCTTTTCAAACACTCTGATATCTTATTTTAACAATGCCAATTTTGGGGAAGGGCAGTAATCATTATCTTTGTTTAAAGCAAGGCATGATTGAGGTTTGATATTTTGCTCAAGGTTAAATAAAGTGAGTTATAGCTACAGAATTGAGATCTCTCTCCAAGACTCCTTTCTCTGTTGAGGGGTTCGCACAAAGCTTTGTCACACTCCAATCTTATGTGTATTCCAATTGCTCGGTCTACACCCACTCAGTGGTTTCTATCTTCCAATCACATTCACCATAAGGAGTTTAGCTAAGGGATTAAGAACCCCTCGTGACTGCCAAGCTGGCCAGGGACTTGGATCTGACATTATCTATATGCATATTTACATTTACCTGTCACCTCCATTTAGCCCATATGGTCGTGGGTCCTACTTTTGTGGCTGACATCTTCTACAGCACTGCTGTCAGCAGGCATTGCCTGCAAACTCAGAAGTAATTTCAAAGACCCCCCTGCCGAGTCCATCAACTCGAATAAACATTCTTCTAATCAGAAAAGAGGCACTTGGAACCACTTTGCTGACGATTAGCCAGGCAGAAGTCAACAAACATTTGTGTAATAGTGACAAGATGGCTTGTACTTTAAATTGATAATAACCCCATCACCAGCTGAACATGAACAACTACTCCCTATGTTATTTAGCCTTTGTCTGTGAAAATAACTCATTACCCAGCCTGTGACCACTTATTTAGATGTTGTTCTTGAGCCCTGGGAAAGGGGGCTAACATAATTTGTGAAATATGGGAAGTGTGTCAGATGGGACTGACCGTCTAGCTCTTTGATTCTGACACCAGTCAAAGGAAAATTCACTTCTATAGTGGGTTTTAACCTACATTTTTGGTTTTAAGCTCATGCTCAAAGATTCTGTGGAATAATTGCCCATTTGACTAATTTCTTGCAGGTGTTCTGTGGGAGAATTAAACATGACTAGATGACATGAGGGCACAGGCAGAACACCACTTGAAATGATAATTAGAATTCTTGGGGGAGGGGTTTGAATCGCAGAGTGGGACTTGGGATTTTATATGGGACTCCATCTCTGAGTTCTTAATGGAAGTCAATGGGATGATAATTTGCTATGCAAATTTCTGCCTTTCTTACAGCTTTCTCAGGAGCATAATAATGTGTTGGGGGGAGACAGAGCTCTGCAGGGAGCTGCCATTTCAGCAGCTCATTGACCTCAGTTGAGCCTGAAACAAGGGCAGATTTTTATGGCCTGTTGGAGGGGGTGTTAGCTTGGGCCCAGCTGTAGTGGTCAGGAGGCAAGCACAGGATTTCTACAGGAGAATGGAAATGCCCCTCAGTCCATCTTCTTCCATCACATCCACCTGCACAGTCTTAGAAGTCTGATTGTGTAATGAATGGACAGATTTTCCCACTCTCTCTGGCTCTCCACCAGCTTGAGTCCTGAGATATGGGGATGGTTGAAGCAGTAGTTCCCTGAGACTGACTGGGAATCAGCAGAAACCTGGCAATGAGATCCATGTACTGCCACAACAATCAGAACAGCTTTGAAATAACTAAGCCTGATGTTTTAACCTTATTAATTTATTTAAAAAGATTACCCTTTTAAGAAATATGAACATCTTAAACATTGTTCAGAATTTCCAGAATAAATTAAACTAATTATTATGATCAATAAGAACATAAAATAGTAATACTAAGACCAAAGCAAAGCAGAGGTAATTTTGGATAGGTTTTTCCAAACTATACTCTCTGTCCTAGAGTTTGATAACCTTCTTCCATACTCACTCCCAACCCCCATCATGACTATCCCCAGTTCAGAATCCATGGTCCTGAAGGGTAGCAGAATATGTCACCCCAAAATATGCCTCTTTGGCATATGCATTATTTGAGCTAAAGGCCATTGAGAACTAGTAGATGCAGGAAAAGCTCTAAAAATAGGGCACACGTTTTCCTTTTGTAAAGAAAATGTACATTTATAAAGGAAATTTTGATGTGTCATAGGTGTCTTCTTCTCCCTACCAGGAAGAGAATAACCCTTAACAACACATATTAGTGGAGAAGGAACAGACTTAAACCTGAATAACAAACTTTACTAAACAACCCTTGTTCACACTTTTCCTGGTCACCTTCTCATAACTTTCTTCCCCTACTCAGAAGCTCAAAACCTCTTTTGTTTTGTTCTTGTGGGGTTTTTTGTTTAGCCTAAGGTGGTATGAAAGCCTGAGTTCTAACCACCTCTTTGAGTTACTCATCACTGGGCGTTCTTGTGTGATGCACCATGTCCATGTTAATAAACTTGTTTTTCTCTTGTTAAACTGTCTTTTTGTCAGTCTAATTTACAGGGTCTCAGCCAGAGAACCTAAGATGAGTAGAGAAAAATATTATTTTTCCCCTCCCCTACAGCCTAGACCCAGGAGAAAAATGACAGAAAGTTACTATGGCTTCACCTGGGCAAAAAACGTAGTGTGGGGATTTCATAGGAGCTGGGACATCCTCTAAATGGGTAAAAGGTACCGTGGGGTGGCATTCACTTACACATAAGACAATCCAGACTCTGCTTACTCTATTTGCAGAAATTCTTGCTTGGTTACAACATTTTACATAATTTTAACATTTAAGTAACATATTTTCTTTAAGGAGGTTAAATTCCCTTGTCTAGCAAAGATAACAACAATTAAATTTGCACTTCTTAAAGCACAGGAAATCATGGAAACCTTAACTATTTGGGCATTCTGCATTGCATTTTCTTTATGCTTTCATTAAGCATTAGTTGAAGGCCTTAATACCAGGCACTTTTCCAACCACTGGAGAAATAAACATGAATGAGATATAATCTTTGCTCTTGAGAAGAAGTCTAGTGGTGAAAACCTAAGTCTAGGTAATAATCACAACAAAAACTTGACAAGTAGTATAACAAAGTTATACACAGGGAGTTATAGAAGCTTGTAGTGGGGAGATGACTAATATTTGAATGATCTTGAAAGATGGACAGTATTTGTCAAATGAAAGGATAGCAGTGGTGTTGCAGACAGATGGAACTGTGTAAGTCAGACATGGAGAACTTGGTGCATGGTGGCCCAGTAAGGATTTTAAAATGCAGGAGTGGAAAGGTTGTAAAGAGTGTAAGGAAAAATTAAACACTATGGAATAAACAAAAGTAACCACTAGCTATCTTTTTAATGGGGATTATCTGAACCTATAGAGATATGTATCATTGTCTTTGTCTACTCTATTTTACAAGTCTGTGGAGATTAAAGTTAACTGTAGAAAACTGATCTAAGTGCAAATAATTCTTATCTATAGACATGCAAATAAATTCTGTCCTGAGTGAAAAACAACCTTCCCCCTAAAGCCAGTCTTGTATCGCCTTCAAGTTCATTTCAATATTCCTAATCTCTCAGTGTGTCTGTTTTTTGGTTATTTCTTTCAACTAGCTGTAATATTATACTGGTGCCTCCTCTTAATTAATTAATAAGTTAAATAATTTTTTGGACACATGTTTACTTTATATTTGTGTGAGAATCATTATTTTACCTCTTTTTGAAAAGAGAAGGGTTGATTCAAATCATGAAAGCTTTGCTTATGATGCTAAGGAATTTAGGCTTTGTTCTATGGACATGAATGGTCATTGAAGAATTTTAGGCATGAGGGTGACACGTGCATTTTGGAAAAGTCACTGACTGCAGTGTGGAGGTAGAGTTGGAGAGAGAGGCTTGAGTTGGGGAAACCAGTTAGGAAGTGACTGCAATAGATGAGGCCTATACTCAGATAATAGCAGTGGCTATAGAGTGGAAGAGTTGTATGGAGAATTATATTAAGGTTGAATTGACACTGTGAAATCAGATTCTTTAATAACAAATGTGGCTACTAGCTGGAACAAATTTAGAATTCTTAAGTATTAGAGGTTTACCTGCTGTAGATCTGTTAGTAGGTTTCTCAAAACCCTTCGGGTCATGCGTGCCCCAGAATCATAACCTCCCTTGTTATTTTCTGCATAGAGCTGAAAAAGAGCTAGACACATAAGGAAATAAATCTTTAAATTAAATTCTTGCAATGTATCTTCGAAGACTGTGTGCTTTGAATTCTAAACAGTGTATTTGTGGGTATGGAGGGGAAAACATGGACAGTTCTTTTCTTGACTCTTTGCTTTCTTCTTTGAGGGCTTCCCAAAGTAGATAATATGATAACTACTGAAAACCCAATTCACATTTCAACCCTTTGATGATTCAGCACATGGAGGAGGAAGACCAGAAGGCTGGTAAACAGCAATGCGAGGAAAGTCCCAGCCTTCAGAGGACTAATAGCCGCTGGTGTCTGAATAATCCCTACACGAATTAATACCAAGGACAACCAAGTCATGAATATGTAGAAAGCACAGGCCAGCATCTTGAAATCTTCCAAGTCGGGTTCAGTAGTGCTGAACAAGAGCCACTTGGCCGGGATGTACGAATGGGTAAGAAAGATAATGTGTTGGCAATTTGGAGGCTGTTGCATTTCAGACACTCAAAACTCGCGCGGGTCCTACCTCTGTATTTTGTAAGTGGGCTGTCCCCTGAGAGGGCAATCAGGGCAGCGGCTGCAGGTGCAAGCCTGAGGAAGCCAGTTCCCGTGCTGCATGGCAATAAAACACAGGCAAGAAAGGGAAAGGCGGGGTTATTCTTGGTGAAGTGGTTTATAAAAAACATAACTATGCATGGACATTTCCGACATGGTGTTACAGGTTCAAGCTTTTCATGGTCTGTTTTCCTATATCTAGAATTTGACAAAACTAACATTTGAATTAAGATATTTCATCATTCATTTATTCGTTCATTCATATGCTCAGCTAATGTTTACTGGGTTCTTCTCTCTGCTTAGCACTGTGCTAGGCACTGGGGATACAGGTCTGCCCTGTCTTCACTGAGCAGGTAGTCTCACTTCCTTAGGACTCACATGTCTGAAAACCAAACAACAGACATAAGGACCAAAAGGCAGGCAGAAGGAGCAAACATTTATATATAAAAGAATCCACCAGTTCACAGGCCCTCCTTAGAGTCTAATCATCCTTTGCCTACTGGCTGTGCAGGTTTCACACCTACAAAACAATGTATTAAAACCAAGAGGATTATTAGGGGCAGGCACCCATATCAGAAATGAGTCAAAAGCTTCATGTTTAAGGAGGCTGCAATCATGAAAAAATAACTTGGGAACATGTTTATATGCTATTTATGCAATTAAAAAATAAATAACTCAAAAAGGAAACCCTGTAAGGAATTTGCCAGATGGTTAAACTGTGCTTGCCTCTGTGAGGTAGGCTTTTGGGTGATATTCCTTCCTCTTCACTCTTTTCTGCACTTTCCAAGTGTATTATAGTCACTGTGAATTTGTAAAAGTCCATGCCAAAGGTTGAGCTTGCTGGGTCAAGACCACATAAGGTAAACAGAATGAAGTGAGAGAACAAAGTGACAGCGAAATGCACACACACACGCACCACTGACTCCAGGGTGCACAGAATCAAGCCTTTGACTTGGCCTAAACTGGTTTATAGGTACAATGAACTGAATGTTTATGCCCCCCCCCTTCATTTGCTGAAGTCCTAACACCCAATAGGATGGAATTTGGGGGTGGGGCTTTGGGAGATGATTAGATCACAAGGACAGAGTTGGATTAGTGATCTTACAAAGGAAACTTCAAGGCACCCCCTTGCCCCTTTTGCCATGTGAGGACACAGGGAGTAGATGGTCCTCTATGAACCAGGAAGCAGGTCCTCACCAGACACTGGCGGGCACCTTGACCTAGGACTTCCCAGCCTCCAGAACTGTGAGAAATAAATGCTTGTTGCTTAAGCCACCTAGACTTTGGTATTTTTGTTGTAGTAGCCCCGAAAGACTAAGATAACAAGTTAGCCAACCATACACAGGTTATTCAACCTTCCTACACTTAAGAAACAAAACAAAACAAAACAAAAACTAATAATTGGTTACTAAGAAATAAGCAAGGAAATAAGCCATGAGGGGCTCAAGAGAAAAGTGCACATTTTTGCATGCATAGATGTATAATTGCCATAGCAGAGGGTGTGTATGGTCTCTAGAGTGGAAGCCAGTTTGTTTAAGGGAAAAGTAATGTGGAATTGTTTCCCCTTTTTGCAATCCATGGATCACTGATGTTAGTAAAGCTGATAAATACGTCTTCTTTGTTCCCCTTCTGAATGAGTAGTGCATGTGTGGAAAACAAAGAAGCCATCTTATATATCAAACCACAAGCAAACATTAGACAACCCCAAATGGTCAAAGACCAGTGGCAACCAACACTGCCCTTGAGGTCACAGCGTGACCTTTACACCCTCACCTGTCATACATCGCTGTGAGAAGGCTCAGAGTAAGTTCCGCAGCTCTGGGATGCACTTGCCCTGGCTTTTCCCTGACTCTCTGAAACAGCTCCTGGAGGGCCTGAAAAAGATGCTGCACGGAGAGGGGCTTCTCTCTTGCTTCCCAGAAACTTTGATGGAGTAGGATGTGCTGAATCTGAGAACTGTCAATCAAGTCCACTGTAGAAAGCAAATGGAGAGTTGAGTCTGATTTTCTGATGGAAACAAAAGGCTTCAAATAAAGCAAATGTCGCTGAGTGTTTAATTAACAATTTTTGTAGCCATTTCCTTTAGAGGAAATGAGATATGATATGACCACTATTTGGAATACATATCTCTTGTGCATTACTATTCTGACAGCCAATTTGATTCTGGAAATGTGCATCTGTTAGTAAAGCACAGTTATAACATTATTTCCAATATAAGCTCTAGGATGTTGCTTTATAGAATGAAGTTGAAAGGAGAAAAGTGAGAATCTGGAAAAATAGCCTTCCAAGGAGTTTAGAACACTCTGTAAAAGGTTGGGGAAAACATTTTTACATTCCTCAAGTCGATTGAGCAAATTTGCTTTTCATGTTCAAATATTGTTTTTCCTGTCTGCAGCCTAGCTTTAGAACAACTATTGTGTGTCAAAATGCAATTGTCTTAGTTAAAAAACCAGCGATCTTTATACAAGAGCCATTGCTGAATTTAAATGATTTTATTTATTGATTTTGAAAGAGAGAGATTCATTGTTCCATGTATGCATTCGTTGGTTGATTCTTGTATGTGCCCTGACTGAGGATTGAACCTACAACTTGGCATATTGGGTGGAGGCTCTAACCAACTGAGCTACTGGGCCAGGGCCAAGCAGTTGCTGAATTTAATATCAGACACTTTAGTTCCCACCCTTGCCTCAGTAATATATATATATATATATATAGTTTTTGATCTTGGTTCCATTAGTATTATTATCTGAGGAAGGCACTAAATAAAACCAAAGTTGCTTATAAAAAATAATGGTTTATTTCTTGTATATTTTTTACCACCTCCTAAACATTTTACAAGGCAATGAATATAAGGAAGAATGAAATAGGACTAACCCTATGGCTTCTTACAGATGGAGGGTGACAGACAAAATTAATAAACACCCCATTGTATCATTTGAGAGATGGGATGTCAGTGGTACCAAGAGCTGCTGGCATTTAAAATGCTTCAGCCTGTGAAATGATAAAACCCTGTGCTTTTCTCTACTTCGTAAATCAGTCTCGCAGATAAGAAATCTAGCAAGTATAATAAAATTTTTTGTTTGTTCTCTGGTGCTGCTTTTAAGGGGAGAGTCTAAAGAAGTGAGGATTAGATTCTGGAATGTGACTAATAAAAACCTGGTTGCAGGCTGCCAAATCTTCTATCGTTAATCGCAACACCTATCACCTCGGCCTGGGTGCTGCACACGGCCGGCCGGTGGCGACTTCTGCTGAGGGCCTGCATCGCAGAGGAACAGGTAATCCCGCTGCCCAGTAATGTCACCACAGAGCCACACAGCGTGCTGCCCAGATCCCCCTCTGGAACTCGTAGCATGCTTATCTCTGTGTATGGGACTTTCGCTTTCAAATTTTTATCTAGATATCTTTTTTTGGTAGAATTTTTCAACTAATTTTGTGTTTTAGGAATATTTCCCGGGGAGTTTTATTTATATTTACTGTTTCTGATGCCAAGAATAACAAAAAGTATAAAAAGATACATATCAAATTACATTGTTTGTACCCACGTAGGGATGATGAAGGTTTTTTATAAACACTTGCTGCTAACTTACTTTAATGGGAGAAATTCTCCAGGAAAATAGCATAACTGAGGTATATCTTTAGTGTGCCTGTTCTGCCTTTTGTTGATCCCTGGAATAGCAAATACTAGTTAGAAGTGAGTTTATTTGTCTACATCAGTGTTTGTTTGTTTTTTTAATTTTAGTTTGTTTAAGTCAAGAATCCCTTTCTTTAAGTCAAAGAAAGGCAGTGTGGAAAATAGAGAAATACAGAGTTGTTCTGGCTGAGGAGATGGTCTTTGGGTTTTCCCGGCTTGCCTGGCCTTCCTCCCCCGCTCGCTAACCCTTTGGGGTTCTACGGCATACCCACGCACGCGTTGTGAAGCGCAATCTGAAATTCCCTGGCCTATATAACTTATAAGGCAAAAAGCAAAATATAAAAAAGTTCAACCTTTCGGACAAATGTAATGTATATAACACAGCTTCTTTTAGGTCTGATATGATAATGCCATAAATCACTTCACATACAGCGATTTTTTAATGTAACACAGAATTTATTAGAAATCAATAACTTTATTTATGCTGAATGCTTGTTGTTTTTCACGGCAAGGACCCAATTTATTTCATGTTGGAGAATTTTTACAGGATAAATGTTTTTACAATATTTATTTTGCTTAGATAACAGTATAGGAAAAGAAAACCATAGCATTCAGTTAGATATAAGTTTAACACAAAAGAGCAGTTCTCAGGGAATTCTCAACGTAGTTTTAAAATTTCTGGCCCACGGATTATTCATCTGAACCTACTTTTGCATGTTCAGAGAGATAAGAAGTACAACTTGAAAATGAAAATCTTATGGGATAGAAGAAATTAAAAAACTTTAAACTTAAATCTACAAGTACAGATTCTAAACTAACTTATTTTGCAATTTTGCTTTGTGTTAATATTGGTATACTGAAAAGGAAACCTTTTTTTTTTTTTGCAGAAACCAAATTGGAAAAAAAAAATCTGCATCCAAAAATCATTTTCTATTTCAGTCAATGAAGCTACCCTTAGGTTGAACACATATGGTGCCCCCTCCCCCCTCCATCTTCTCTGTTACAAGTGGAGGAAATGCACAGGTCCAGCCTTCTGGAGTCCCACAGTCACTCACATGAGTTTTTATTTTCTTTGTGAATTTACATCAGGATCAGATTATTCTACTTACGTTGACACATGGTTTGCACAGATCGTAATTTGAAGGCTGTTCTATAAATGGAATTCTCAATGCTATTAAGAGCATCTGTAAAGAAAACATGAAATAGCATGGATAAATGACTATCTCATTAGATAAGCCCCGCATCCTGGAAGGGAGTCCTAGAGATCATGTAGCCTCACTTTATTTTGCTCTCTTTCTTATCTGGGAACACATAATAATGGTCTACAGAATCTCAGGCTGCAAGGGACCCTAGACTCACCCTCAGAGTCCACCAAACTAAGAAATCCACCAAAAAGTGAGGATTCCTCCATGAATCTGTCCACGTTTTTAATTACAAAAGGAAACAGTCTTATGAAACAAATAGAATGAAAAACTCTATGCAGAATATAAACTCAATTTTGTTAATATATTCTAGTCATGTACACGCATGTATTGATCCATGTATAAAAAATAACTCAAATGCTATCCGCCCATTCATTCATTTAGCAATATTTATTGAACTCTTACTATATGGCCCTGGCATGATTCCAGGCCCTTGGAATTCAGCAGTTGACAAAACAGATAAAAATCCCTGCCACGTGGAGCTTCATTTCTGGTGGCATTCACCAAATTGGTAGTAGTGGGTATTTCTGGGTGCTTGAGTTCTTAGTGCTCATAGTTATTTTCTTTCTACTCCTTGATATTACCTAAATTTTTAATAAAAAGTCTATGTTATTTTTATAATCAAGAAAGAATTAATATACCTTCTGTTGAGTGCTTCTACTACCAACATTGCTATAACAATGGCTAGGATTTCTGAGCACTTACCAGGCACTGACTGCTTATTCACCCATTTCACAGGGAGGAAAAGAGAAAGCTCTGGGGCCATACCCAGTTCCTTTTTCCTTTGGGGAAATTAGTTTACTTTTTGACCTTCAGTTTCTTCATCAGATAAATAGGGGTTATAGTACAGTCTTCATAAGGTATTTGCATGATTTAAATAAGAAAATATAGATAACATCCTTACTGTATTATCTTTCTTCCCTAAGTTTCTACAATTTAAATTTCTTTCATTGATCCCTCAAACTTGGTTTTAATTTAAGAGATTTACACCAATCTCACAATAGCTTTTTGTTGCCTAAGACTGAAATGATCAGTCTTCATTTCTAGAAAAAGTAAAATCTAAAAGAATGCCATTGACCACTGAACTCATATGATTTATATTACCTACACTTAAAATTATCGAAATCGCAACTTAGGAAACATCTCTTGAGTTTCTATGATATGCCAGGCCTTGCTTCTAGAGGGGTTTGTAGTTAAGTCATCATGAAATAGCTATTTGTATTTGCTAATATATTTATTAATTATACACACACACACCCTACCCAAGGTCTGAGTGCACTTTAGGTCCCAGGCACTATGCTGGGTACCGAGGACATTAAGGTGAAACAGGAATTCTCAGTGTCAAGAAAGAGACAAGCTCCCTGAGCTAAATATGGAAAAATGCAAACTGAAGATTTCTCAGGGGAGGTGAAGTGAAATCTGGCCTTTGAAGCAGAAGTAGGAAATTTTCAGGGGATTAAGTGAAATGGAAGGTTTGGAGGAATGACGTCACAAGTATAGGGAAGAGCATGTGCAAAGGCACAGGGGATAAGGATTATGGAGGTCAGTGGGGACTGGGAGGTGTTAGAGAGACTTTGGGGAGGGAGGACAGAAGGTAGGTTGATGTGAGTTCATTAAAGATCTTGCCCCAAATTTTGATTGTGTGTCTGGAGGTCAGGATGGGATAGACATTTAGTCATTAGTGTTGGATTTGGGCAAAACCATATTCATCTACTAGATTGTTGAAGTAGAGTACTGTAAGTGAAGGGAAAATTAGGCTAAGTAACAGAACCTCTAAGGAACATAATCATTTAAGTAACAGAGGAGGAAGAGAAACCTAAGAGAAAGAATGAGAAGGGAAAGCCAAAGAAACCAGGAGATAACAATAAAAAGGCCAAGGAAGGTGAGTTTCAGAAGGTAGAGACCAGCCAGTACTTCAGTATCTGGAAGCCTCAAGGAGATTAATTATGGACTAAAGATAGCCTCTGTTTTTTATGATTAACTGACTGGAGAGAATGGCTGCGAGCTGTAACCACGGAGACCAGAGCTAGACTTGGCAAGGATTTCTGTGTCCAGTCTTGACAGGGAGTCTCATATCTTCAAGTGGATCCCAAAGCCAAAGACAAAAAGTATAGCAAGTAAGGGTCATGATGGCATTTCAGGCCAGATTTTATGAACACTTCAGACCAGATGTTCAGGATAAAAACCTTAAAGGGTTCTGTCTGTCTCAAAAGGATGGCTTCTTCCCAGACTTAACTCACTGTAAATTTTAAACCAAGTTACAGTGACTTTATTTTGCTTTGGAAAAAGTTGCTTTGCCCTTGAATGTTGAGGGGTAAAGTCTTATCTGTTACACATGTGGGTACTGAACCCCTGAACCCAGTCAGACCCATCTTAGAGGAATTAGAGCACACCAAAGGCCTCTCCCTGAACATATATTAATTCAATGATCAATATATGATTATAAGTCCAAGCTCCCACCTCAGGTGAATGTGAGCAGTGCCTAAAAATGCCACCAAAACAAGCAATCTTGTTTAAAAACCTCCACTTCCCCCCCCGCCTTTTTTGAACAGGTACACCTGTATAAAAAACCCTACCATTTGTTCTGAATCTTTTGTTATTTAATATGTCATTGTTTTAAGAAAATACTTTCTTTTCAGATAAGGGTCCAAAGTTAGAGCATGGGAGAAGTCAGAAACACCTCTGCCCTGTGTCTGAAGTAAAACAAATTGAAAATAAAGATAGTAGCCTGGAAATAATTTACAAAAGTGTAATGCCCAACATTTTCTTTTTCCTCCTGGAAACTGGCCCATTTTTATGCCCTGGTTCCTCTCAGATGTACCAAAGGAATACAGAGAATCAGCAAACTAGGGATTCTGCAGGTTCCCAGATGCTGCTCTCCCATCTGGCCCGTCACCCTCCTGTCAGCTTGTGTTCTGCAGCGTCATCTCATGAAGTTATGCAGCATAACAGGGCCAGCTGCGGACAGTGCAACGGGGAAAGGTATGTGCAGCCCGGGTGCTTCACCACCAGCCCTGCTCTGTTTACCCCCCTGCTGGTGGGAGAAAATTCAAGAAAGGAAAAAATTGCTGGATATATCAGGCCCAAAGCTATAAAGAAAGTACTTTTAGATGCTTAAAGAAATAACACAAGCTACATATTGTCTTGTTCATGGAAGCATTTTGACTGGGAAGAGTGTTTTTCTTTAAATGATTCTTAATTTTGCTTAGCCAAATCAATACGTTTCATTTTCTACAGATACTAAGATACTAAGAATATAATAAAATCTCTTTCAAATGTCCATCATCTAGTTGATGATCCAGAAATAGATATTTTAGGCCAGTGGTTGTCAAAATGTAGTCCCAGGTGAGCAGCATCAGTATTGCCTGGGAACTTGTTAGAAATGCACATTCTTGGACCCTACCCTGGACCAGCCAAGGCACAAACTCTGGAGGTGAAGCCCAGGATTTTAACAAACCCTGAAGGTGATTCTGACAGACACTAAATTTGCAAAACACACCTTTAGGGAGAGAAAATTGGACTTTGAATGCATTACCTACTTTTCTGCGTTAGGCTTGTTAATACGAGGGTTTAAGTTTGGGAAACCCAGAGATCATTTGAGTTACTCATAACGTTGTTTTAGAGAAATAACTTGACTTATTACAGAATTTTATATAGAACGGGTATAGTTAAAAATCTGGATTTTGGCTGGGGAAATAAGGCTGCAACTAGACCCCGAAGTGAAAATGTCCTCAGCCAGTTCTGGGCCTAAGCTGGCGTTCAGATGTGTTGGAAGAAAGGGGAGCTGGTTCCCACATACCCATTCCTCAAATAGGCATGTAATTGCAGCTGTGAGAGTTTCCTCCCAGCTCTGAGCCCACAGAGTACCGTGATCTTAACCCCTGACACAAAAATTTCCGTAGTGACGTCATTTTAACAGTAAATTATGAGAATAATTTAAAAATAAACCCTGTCTTGTAATTAAAATGTAATTATATTGAGACCAAATATTTTAAAAATTTGGGTGCTTTGGAGACAATAAAGCAAATATTCTTAAATACGAATTTTTGTATGGAAGAAAAAGTCTTTTAAATCACTCAGTGGTTTCTTTTTCAGCCAAAAATTTGCCAAATGTCTACTTTGCTGCATTTCAGAAGTCTGAAAATCCAACATCTGTGCCTTTTTTTTTTTTTTTTGCT